TGTCTTGCTATTGGCGTTTGTTTTTTTGGATGATATTACATCACACAGGGTATGGAGTTTGCTGTTATACTAGAATCAAATCGACCTTTGCTCTACAACCAACGGACACCTTCTACCCCCGCCGCCACCTAACACCGTTAACGGAACGAAACAGGAGATATAGGACTTATAACGAGCGAGGATAATTGGTTGAGTTAGAGCTCCCGGTCAGCAGCCTTGACCGGCTTTTCACTGTCTTCCGTCTTCGCGTCGGTGACCTTTCCTCCCTGCCAGCCAAGCGCCTTGAGTCGCTCGGATAGGATTGGGTGAGAGTAGTGGTAACTGGCATACATCCAGTCAGCGTCCATGGTGCTCAAGTTCTGGATCTGAAGCTTGAGAAGCGACGCGGCAAGCTGTTCGGAATACCCGAGCTTCACTGCGAAGGCATCTGTGGCGCAGTCAGTTTCTGTTTCTAGAAAGGTACAAGAGGACAGGAATCATACCAGCTTCGAATTCGAATTTGCGGCTGAGAATGTTCATCAAGAGTTTGACGACAGCATCCATGGGAGCCAGAGCATCTGAGAACAGGAGGAATCCAATCATGATGGGCATTTCCTGGTGGAAGCCAAATGATTGATACAGGGACTTGTTGTTCACAAAAACCGAGAATAGGGCGAAGATGTAGAACATGTGAGACTATAACATAGACCATTAGCCTTCATCTGCACGTCTTTGTCTCCATAAGGGGGCAATATCAAGAAGCTGTTCAGTAAACACGTACCTGAGCAATAGCGAAAAGCTTAGTAGTGTGGCCGAGGCTCCAGTGACCAAGTTCATGACTCAAGACGGCGACGACTTCCTCAGTCTCGCTCTTCTCAATCAGAGTATCATAGATGACAATGTGCTTTTTCCACGGCAGTCCGTAGAAGTACGCGTTGCTGTGAGCACTCCGCTTGCTGCCGTCAATGACATACAGCTCATGGAGAGGAAAGTTGAGCTTCCGGGCGAGGCTCTCAACGCCTGTTTTCAATGCGCCAGGCTCTAGGGGCGAGAGCTTGTTGAACAGTGGCAGGATGACAATGGGGTAGATGGTGATAGCGAAGACCTGAACGAAGACACCAAAGAGCCACAGGTAGTAGAAGAACGAGTTGCCAGTCTTCTGGACGATCTTAAGCACGGCGCTGATGATCGGGGTTCCCAATACAATTCCCAGCATCTGACCCTTGAGCATGTCCGTGACCCAGAGCTTGAGAGTCTGCTTGTTGAAGCCAAACTTCTCCTCTAGAACGAAGGTATTGTAGTAGGAAATTGGCAGGGACAGGACGGTGCTGATTAGGTTGAAACCGAAGATGAACAGAAGCGTCTGGGAAATCTCACCCTGAAACCGAGAGGGGAAGTACCGGGCTAGCAAGAGACCGCTCAATCCCCAAAGCTTGGGGAGGACATCGCCGTAGATGAACGCAAGATTCTGGATTTGACCGTAAAGACCCGAGATGAAACCAAACTTGGCTTTTGCGCGGCCATACGCCTATAGAGAAGGACGAACACATCAGACCCGCAATCTTACAATAGCAATATTACCATCTCTGCTTACCTGACTCTGATCGAAGACTTTCTGTGACACTTCATTCTCCAGCACCTTGGGTGGCTTTGTCCGCTGCAACACCTTGTATTGCCGGAAGGACAAGAATCCTTCGAGAATGAATTGACCTAAAGAGAAACCCACGAGAACATTCTTCCAGGGGAAGAGCGGGCGATCCAGAAGACGCGCAAGTTGCTGTCGAGGGCAGAATCGTTAGGTCAGCTTGAGAAAGCAAGGTACAGCATGAACAATATCAACAGAACATAATAAGGTGGCTCCAAAGGGACGAGCTCGGAGAGCTTACCTCGAGGATATACATGGCTGAAAATTCAGCACAACAACAGGCGATTTGAACAAGGCGCTGTGTTTTTAACCTGTTGTTCGCAGCCTTGTGGTGTTGACAGATGCAAGTACTCCCGCTCGATGGATGGTGATTTAACATTAGTCTTAGTCAACACCACTTTAGTGCAAACTGGCCGCATCTCCAGCTGACAGAACAAAGAATGTCAATCCGCATACTTTTTAGGGCATCAATGGATATGATCTTTGAGATCTAGGACTATAACAGGTTTGATAGTCTATTCTGTATATATCGCATATCCAACTTTGGTCATATGGTTAACTCCTCCCCACCGTGTTGTTCGCTTAGATACTTCATCTGTTACCTGGCAAAGCATCTACACATGTACTCCACAGTAGGAGACAAAGCAACAAATATATAAAAGAAAATAGAAAGTTTTCACATAAGAACAGCTTCATAAAACACATCACAGAAGTAGTGGCACTTCATCAACGTGACTCATCCTTTTATGCACCCATGTCTCTACCAAAACAGACGGCCTCTAACCTTTTAAGAACCCCTTGAGTACGGCCGTCTCTGCATCTCGTAAACAACCTCCTCAGAGCTCCAACAGCTGGAAGAGATGAATGTCGGAGCTTCCTGTGTTCTCTAAATTGGAGTGAATCCCGACGCTCTTCGTGACCTCGAGTAATCAACTTTTCTTATCTGCTGCTTCCACTGCCTAGATCTGCTGGCGACAAATCGGGGAATGCGAGTGAGCTGGGACCCCATATGTCTCCCTCAACAGCTCCACGAGCAGGTCGACCCAATTGACCTGACAAGCGAATTTTGCCTAGTTCAGAATGGGCTCAAGAGTGTTACCACTGTAGCAGATTAGTTATATGAATCCATATCAACGATGGATAGTCAGGATGACTTACGCGACAATATTGGCCCAGCCGATCAGACGCCAATGCTTGTCAATTCTCCGGCTGATAGCAATCTTCTCTCCAATCTCTGTACAAGCCGGGCTGGTCAAGCTGAGCTTGGCAGCATCAGCCTTCACACCCATAACCTTAGCACCAGTGGCCGTAGAGCCGATGTTAACCATGAGGACCTCGTTCTTGGTGAGCTTGGCGACCTTGGCCTGCTTGCCGTCGGCAGTCTTGACACCGAGCAGGCGACGCAGCAGGAAGTAGTTGACCTCCAGTTCAGTGTAGATGGCCGGCAAACGGCCACKGTGACCCAGGACGAAACCGACGAGACGATCGGCACGGCACAGGGTAGGGTCGACACGGGTTCCAACACCGATCAAACCTCCAGGAACAGCGAACTTCAGATCGTTGTGCTCAGCAAAGAGCGAGACAACACGGGAGAAGATGGGGCGGCACTGAATCTTGCCGTTCTCGTCCTTGGTAACGAGACCGGGGCGAATCTCAATCTCGTCGTTCAGCTTCAGCACACCAGTGAGGATAGAGCCACCTGCAACACCACCCTTCAACTCATCGATCTCCGCACCGGGCTTGTTGACGTCGAAGGAACGGATGACAATCATGTGAGGAGACGCAGTGAAGTCACGGACTGGAACCGGGATGTGCGAAACAAGGTATTCGTTGACAGCGTCGATGTTGTACTTGAGCTGAGCAGAGATGGGAATGATAGGAGAGCCATCGGCAACAGTACCACGAATGAATTTCAGGATTGATTGGTAATGTTGCAGAGCACCGTCTTCCCTCATCAGATCAACCTTGTTCTGCAGAATGATGATATGGCTGAGCTTCATGATTTCAATAGCTGCCAAGTGCTCCGAAGTCTGAGGCTGGGGGCAAGCTTCGTTTCCGGCAATCAGCAAAAGGGCGGCGTCCATGACGGCGGCACCTGACAACATGGTACTCATGAGAATATCGTGCCCAGGGCAGTCGACGAACCTGTGAGTAATGAGGATTAGCTATTAGTCCCCTTCGAGACACGAACGCAAAACTTGTTCTACTTACGAGACATGTCTCAGCAATCTGTAACGACCTTTGCATCCTTCTCTCTCACATGGAGGGTCGACCTCCTTTTCACTCTTGTAACTCTTGAAGCACGTCGGGCGGGGGCACTCAGGGTTGTCGCACTTGTAGATTTTCGCGTTGGCGTAACCAAGCTTGATGGTAATATTCCGCTCCAACTCGTTTTTGAACCGGACAGTCTGCACTTCCGAAATAGCCTTCACCACAGTCGACTTGCCGTGAGCGACGTGTCCGATAGTACCGATGTTAATTGTGGCCTGGCGCGCGATAATCTCGGGCGACAGAGGGGTGAGTGTCGACAAGTCGAGAGTCTCTGGGTCGGGCTGCTCGGGGAGTTCTGGACGCTTCGGCTGAGGAGCAGGGGGCGCTGCGCCTTTCTTCATCGCAGACTTGAGGGGCTTTTCTTCCACATCAAGAGGCTCCTGTTCTTCAATGTCTTCCTGGCCGTTCGCCGCATCCAGCATGGGAGAGCCAGGCTGCGATTCATCGTCGGTAAAATCGCCGTTGGTAGCCATGATTGCGATAATAACCCTTTGATTGTTCACGGACAGGGAGATGGAGAATCCTTGGGGTTAAAGGAAGGTGTTAGTCCGAGAGTGGAGGGGTGATAATCAAGGGTTCCGTTGTTGGATGAAATTTGCTTGCTTGGAAAACGGAGGCGATATGATACCAGTGGGGTTCTGGTTTGTGCAGTGGAGTGTGAGTGGGCGGTGGGAGCCTCTTTCGTGCCCTGTGGGCTGCCAGTTGCGTTGGGTTGATACGGTCAATCGAGAAAAGAACAGGTCAATCTATCTATAAACTCGGGAAATTCGTGGTATTATTATTATTCTTCTTTCTCGTATGAAACTCATGGATATACTGATCTTGATGAAGGAATGAAGTTGGTTGATCTTTCCATCTTACCGAGCTTAAACACCTGGTTGCTTTCTTCAATGCCACACTTGAATGACTCATGTCAACCAGTAGATGAGCCCAGCATAATTAACTGTCATGATAGCATCCTTATGGTACGGTACAGCCTTGATGTTTGCTCAGTCATTCTAGGAGAGTAGTCGAACAAAATGTGTTGCTTTTAGTAATTTACATCCGGTGGTCTATGAGCACATGGTCGGGTATATAGAACAATATCACTGGAAGCTATGTACATTCATTCTTCGTCACTCCCTTCGCCGGAGGACTCCTCTTCTTCGTCCTCCTCAATGTCGTTTTCCGAGCTCTCTTCAAAATCATCAAGCGTTGGGTCTGGAGGTAGCATGACGAAGGCCCTGAGGCAGGTTATCCTATTCCCTGTCTCATAGACGTTCAAGAGTTTTCCAACCTGCAGATTCCTTGATCCTTGGCTCTTGTCATCAGAAGCCCCCGGCTTCGGCTTCTCCTTCGTATTACGAATGAGACTATTCGCGCGCAGCATCCATACGCGCACAAGACCCTCGCTGTTCCCGGTAACCACAAGAAGATCGCCCTTCTGTGCGGTGGACTCCTCTCCCACATTCAAGATCTCGAAATCTTTGACTCTGCCAGGAAAGCCAGATGCCCTGCCACCGAGCTCAGCAACAGCTTCAGCGTAAGGAATTGGAGATTCGTCGTCATCTGCAGCCTTCTGCAACTTCTTAGTTGAGTAGAATATGATTCTGCCATCCTCTGTGGAGACAGCAAGCAGCTCCTCGCCGTCTTCCGCAGAGGGATCAAGGGCGACGTATTTCATCTGATGCACCTTGCTTCGTGGACTTGGTAGCACCCTGCAAACGGGTGTCGAATCCTATAAATGGTTAGACTTGCTCGCGCAGATTCAGACGGTCGACGGGAATACTCACTATTCCAAAGACGACGGCTCCCCATTCAAATGCAACTGCGAACTCTTCACCCTTTGAGTTCCATTCAATCTTTCTGCCTTCGCCAGTGCTCCAGCGACCTTCCTTCACACTCTGCAGGATTTCCTTGCTAAAGTTCAACACCCCAGCCTTCTTTCCTGTCACCAAATTCCAAAGTCTCATGCATTTTTCTCCTCTACCAACAGAGAGCATGAGCTTCATACTGGGATGCACTGCGAAATCGTTGACTCCCGAGGGAGCGCCTCCGGGCGGCGCAGTGTCACCACTTGGTCTCCCCTGGAGTTTGGGACGCGGGGCCTTGATAGTAGAGACAACTGTCCAGTCGCGAGTCTTCGTGACAGAAATGGTATTATCCTCCGCAGCAGCCAATAACTTGGAGCGTGAAGGAAAATGCAACGCGGAGATATAAGCACTATGGTGAAGAAGAGAGCCAAGTTCTCGGTTTTTCGGGTTCTCGAGGACTTTATTTCCAGCAAGGGTCGGAACAGTTGGATAATGCTCATTCACCGTTGGAGGAGCGGCAGACAGCGAGTAGAGATTGATTCGCTCATCCGTGCCTCCACTGGCCAAGATGACTTTGGGTGGTTCGGTAGAATCTTTCTTTGGCACCGGAGACAAAGCAAGGCAACGGATAGCAGACGCATGAGCTTCGAACAGGAAAGTATCAACGAATTGAACTAGATTTTTGTCGGTTTCAGCTTCATCAGAATCCGTAGAGTTGAAGCAGGCCAGAGAAACAGCAGCAGTAAAGCCATGTAGCACCCGCTCATAAGAGCCAGTGACTATCTGCAAAGTGACCGCAGGACTGGCCGCATCAGACGAGACCACATTCTGAGCTGTGGATGGTTTGACAACTTTCGCCGGCTTCGCAGAAGCTTGAGTATCTTTGGAAGATTGTTCTCTCTTCCGCTTAGCCATGACTGTGTTTATTCAGTGATTCCTCCAACGATGTGTCTTAAGCGATCTAATATCAACAGTTCAACGCTTCTATAATGCTGGAAAACGGCTAACTTTTTTTTCTGCCAGACTTATCGCAGTCTTAGGCGGTGACAGTTTGAGTAGGCGGCCTCGATGCCTGTGGCGCGGTCACCACTACAGTAAGGTAGTCTGGTACTAAATCCGAATGCGGTCATAGTGGACGCTCTGAAGCTGGTGGCCTTGACGCCTGAGGCTGCAACAACACCCCTGATCTCATTCCTGACTTACATACTCTTTTGTTGCTTGGCCTTGTCCCTACCTGAACGCCATTAACAAGACTGTTCCCGGCACCCTTTCATACCTAACACTTGCCCTCCCCCATCACCAAGCAGTAACCAGAATCAACCAACCAAACTCACCCGTACTACCCGTTTAGAAGTTTCATCACCACACTTCAAAAATCCCTTCAACGGTGAAATCTTCGCGTCTCAATTTTTCTTCATCACATAACCACACAACCCCACCGGCTTCATCATTTTTGAGCGACTTTTTCCATCTGGATGACTTCGCTCAACCCATCCCCCTTCTTTTTAGCGCGTTAATCGGATGCTGTGTTCCCGAAATAGACTCGATGCTCCGTGACGAGCTACTCCGCTCCAAGAACGATGAGATCGCGTAAGTATTTGATATTTTTGAGCGACTTTTTCTACTGTATATGATCTCCTATATCGAATTATCGCTTATTTTAATTTTTTTGCAGACGTTGTTTGTTGTCGCGGAAGCGCAAACTGAGCGAGCTCTACTTTGCGACCGTAGGCTTCGCGGGCGCGACCGAGAACGCTCCGACCAATGCGCTATATCACCAAAAAGAACAGACGTTTCTTGACGCCAACGACCTCTCTAAGTAAGTAACTATACTGCATCTCACTGGATATTACATGCATTCGTTTTTGTTTTCCATCTGTCGTTATTTGTTATTCTCTTTTAACTCTCATTCCTCGTATTACGCATTACATCCCGGTATTCGAATTCTTTGCGTATTCCTAATACATCTATAGAGGTCGCTATTTCAATGAAGCTACTCTTCCACCATTCCCCGACTTTGCAGCTCTCATCCCGCGCCCTGAAGAACAGCAGACATCACCGGAGGTGATTGACTCGGTTGTGCAAACACAAGATGTCTCATCTGTCAATACGCCTTCTAAAGCGGAAGGTGCCGTTCGAGGCATCGCGCCTGGTTTCCAGCAGCGGGAGGGACAGTCTGCACAGGTGATCGAACAGACACTAGTTGAAGATTCGCTTAAAAAGGCTGATGCGCGCATCCACCAGCAGCCGGCGCTCGCTGTAACTTCCGAAACCACGCAAGTCGACAAGTCACCTGCGACGTCTGCGCAACCTGACCAACTGCCACAAAAGGCGAGCCTTCCGGTGCTTGAATCTCCACCTACCAGTACCAGCCACGGATCTGTGAATGCCAGCGTTTCTCCGGCTCTGAAAGAGCAGCCCCCCGGCGAAGTCGCACCTCCGCGCGCGGCCTCAAACCAACTACCATCTGCGCAAAGAAAGCCTGAAAGTCGCCCGTCTCTAGTATTGGCTCAGTCTTTGGAAGATCAACCTCTCTCACCCGCCTCGTCCGCAGGCCCTTATTCCAACAACACTCCCGTTCCTGTCGCTGTCTCCCCTGATACCAGTCCTGCCGAGGAAGTTACAGAAGGAGGGGATCAAGTTGCGCGGAGCCCGAAACATGTTGGGCCAGTACGATTACAGCCAAGCTTGGTCCCGTCCACGCCGGACGAACAGCTTCAGCTGGAGGCGGCGCAATCTCTTCAACAGAGCACCTTAGCAAGCAAGTCGATCGGCGACGTTACAACGGCAAGCAGTCTGTCCAATGAAGTAATCAAGGAGGATGTCGGTCCCACCCCGTCTGCGGCAGTCGATCCATTAAAGGAGACACAAGACCAGACTTCCGCATCTGTAGTGCCTCTTGAACCGAAGAGGCCAGATGGAGTTGTTGTCACTCCCGAGGAGTCCCAGCCACCGTCACAGCGTATACAGGAAGAGACCCAGCCTCAAGTTGGCGCTGAAGTTAAGGTGGTTGCGCCAACAACTCCAGCTGCGAAGAAACCAACGGCTGCCGCTATGATTCCTGCTCAGCCAGAACGTATGACAACTCGTGTATCATCTGGGGCCATCCGACACAAGTCTGTATCTGAGATACTCGGCGAGACTCCAAAACCATCTGTCATGCAACCTGAGAAAGCTCATCCGATGGAGAAACCTGCTGATATGGTGCGAGCTCCTCCTAGCGCCTCGCCCGAATCTGCAGCAAAGATGCGCTTGAAAGATAGAAAAGCACGAGAGAAAGAGAGGAGCAAGCTGTCGACTGTCGTTTTCCCCAAGCAGCAGCAACAACTACAACAGCAACAAGAAAAGGATGATTCTTTGGATATTGTCCGCCAATATGCGGGCGAATTAGCTAGGTTGAACGAAGAGCAGGACTATCTATTTACTTTGTTTCAGAACAAGGCCTATGCTCCTCCTCGAGGAACCAATCTTAGCACGCTGCTGGCTTCAGCTCACAAGACACTTACAACTTCCAACCACCTCCTTGAATATCAAGAGCAAATGGACTGCCGTACCTTGCGTCGAATTTATGCTCTACAGAATGCGAACAGATGGCCGCTTCGCCAATTGAAGCGCTCGGTCGAGCCTCCTCGGCAGGGAACGCATTGGGACGTCCTGCTTGATCATATGAAGTGGATGCGCACCGACTTCCGCGAAGAACGAAAATGGAAGATCGCAGCGGCGAAGAGCTGTGCTGACTGGTGCGCCGAGTATGTCAACAGTGACCCAGAGCATCGTGCCCTTCTTCGTGCGCCGGGCAGGATACCTTCATCGGATTTTGAAAAGAAAGAGGTCTACGCATCCAGCATGATCTCACCGCCGGAGGAGACCACTGAGGAGATGCTCGTTGTATCGCAGTCTACTCCGGATCTCATACCGTCCGCAGAAGATGAATCCGTCAGCGATGGCTTCAACGACGAGATACGTCCCGATCTCCGTGACACTGTCGCTCCAGCCGCAATCTTCTCCCTTGGCTCAGATGAATTCACTTTTTCGTTAGACATGACACCTGCAGCCCAGAAACTCCTTGATGAGCTGCCGATATACACACCGGTGAAGATCGCTCCTGGGACCAATCTGCCGATATTCGAGCAGCCTCCCGATTCTGCCTGGAAAACCGAATTGTTGCCCGTCTCGAAATATGCTTCTGGTAGGATCAAGTTTCACGAGACTGAGCCACCAAGAAAGCGTAGCCGCTATGACTACTCGCAATACGATTCTAATCCGGAGCACGGCATGTTAGACTTGCCACCTGAACAGACAAATGTTGCGCTTTTCAGGCCTGAGAATAAACCCATCCGGGATCGCATTCATCCCGGTCATTCCTTCAGGCCCCCAACTGAATACCCTATGCCTTCCGTTGGTTTCTTCGAGTCCAGGCAGTCATCTCAGTGGACATATGCTGAAGACGACGAGCTGCGACGTCTTGTGAAGGAGTATTCATACAATTGGTCGTTGATATCCAGCTGCCTTACTCCATCATCGCAATTTACGTCGGGCGCTGAGAGACGGACACCCTGGGAATGTTTCGAACGATGGGTGGGATTAGAAGGACTGCCTGCCGACATGTCGAAAACACAATATTTTCGCGCGTATCACCAGAGAATAGAAACTGCCCAACGCACTGTCTTGGCCCAACAGCAGGCTGCTCAGCAGCAACAGCAGCAACAGCAACAGCAGCAGGGGGGCAACAGCAGTGCCCAAGCCCAGCAACCGATTCGCAGGCGTACAACACAACCTGTACGAGTCGACAGAAGGAGGTCCTCGAAGCATCTTGCATTGCTGGATGCTATGCGAAAGCTGGCTAAGAAGCGTGAGACGATGCTTCAGAAGCAGCAACACGGTGAGTTTTCTATATAACTGAGAGGGTTGGATTACGCTGACCTCTATCGTTATTTCGTCCAGCTTCTCATCTTGCTTCGCTGAGGAAGGTCAATGAAGCAAACCAGCCGAAGCCTCCTATCTCGTCCCCTGCCGAGTTCAGTCGGCTCAAATACGATCGGGAGTTGAAACTTCAGGAAAGGCAAGAGCAATACCGTCAGCAAATGATAGCCCAGCAGAGAGTAAGTCTTTGTATCACTCTCCATAGTAATGCATCTGGTCACTGACTTCTTCCAGGCAAATTTGGCAGCTCAGCGTGCAGGTCAAGTACCTAACCAGCAGCCAATGATGAACGCTCCACCTGGACGAACCCCTAATGGTATACCTCATAATCCTGGAACTCCGGGTATACCTGGCGCAACACCTAACGGGATGCCTAATGGAATGCCTAACGCATTGCCGAATGGTATACCGCCAGGGATGGGCGTCAGCCAAAGCCGACCTCACATGCAAGGCATGCCGACGGGTGGACCACCCATGAATGGCCCCATACCTCCGAATCCGATGGCGATGAAGATGATGCCGCAGGGCGGGATGCCACAGGGCCCGGCTGGTCGACCTGGAATGTCAATGCAGACATCTCCGGATAATACCCGCGTTATTCGCGAAGCAAACCGCCTACAAGAACAGCAGCGTATCTTGCAGTCTCGGCAGCCACCGCAGCCACCGCAACATCAGCAACCTCAGGCTCAACAAGCACAGCAACAGTTTCACAATCAACAGCAGTTCGGACCGCAAGGCTCTCACTCTCCGAATATGAATCTGCCTAATGTCAACGGCGCCCCAAATAACCCAGCTATGATGGCGGCTCTCCAGGCCGGCAGCGGAATGCAAAGCCCGTCTCTCCACAATGCCATGCCCCAAGGCGTATCCACTCCTTCTCCTCGAATGGGCCAGCCCAATCTTCTATCGGGCGGGGTTGTCCCGACGATCAGTAGCATCCAGAACCAGATTCAGCGGAGTAACCCTAACATGACCCCAGAGCAAGTGAACAA